CTGCACCGACATCAAGCTACAGCACCACCGTGAGTTCTAGGTCAGTTTGTTGTCTCTGTTTCTCTTTCCCTCCCCCTCTCTCTCTCTTCTTCCCCTCCCCTCTGGTTCTGTTCGAACGAGGAAGAAGAAAAGAAAAAAAAAACAAAAAAAAACCCAAAACGACGTCGTTTTGAGGGCTGCCGGGTAGGGCGGCCGATGATCCAAATTCCAACTAACTGGGGTTAATATTGGAACATTAAATTTTTATTTAAAAATTAATATCCAAACCGCACGAATGGTGTACATTTAGACAAATTGTGATGTGCTCCCATGAATTTTCAAGTATGTGTATATATATGTATTTATGAAGAGAGAAAAAAAAATTTAAAAAAAAGAAGAGAGAGGCAGAGAGAGAGAGAGAAGAGTTGTAGATTGAACTCAACTTCTGTCTTTGAGTAAAGACAACCCAAGAAGGGTAGAACTCAGGTGGAAGAATTTTTCTTGAATCTTCAACTGTCATTCGCGCGAAAGCGGCAATAGTTGTTGCCTAAAAATCCAAAAATAAAAAATGAAAATGAAAACAAACCCAGAAAAAATTATTGCAAAATTGATTGAAATTGTACACAAAGTCACATGAACTGAAAATTAAATGGTTATGAATGAGATACCAAATCGGAGCGACGCTTGGATCTGATTTTCTCATACCGAGCGAAACCGAATATCAATCCGATACCAAATGAAATACCCAGAAAAAGACCCACGTAGAAAGACATGTTTGGTTTCCGAGAAAATCTCTACAAGTTTTTTTTCCTTTTTTTTTTCCTCTCCAGTTCTACAGACAGCTTGTTGGGTTTGATATATTGTTGGATTGAGAGAGAATTGATGATTGGTAAAACAGAAATTTGATTGGGAAGTTATGGTGGGAAACGAACGTAAGTGGGCTTATTATTAAACACTATTATTATTAAATTACTGTCTAAAGATTTTTTTGTTACAGTTCAGTTGGTGGAGTTTGATCTGGAAAAGGAAGTAATATGTTCTTTTCTTTTCGCTTTTTCGTTTCCTTCACGTTCTAGAGTTTCTACTTATTCTCACTGTCTTCTACAATTTATGGCGTAAATTACACTCATTTGATTCATTTATATTATATTATTTTTTATTAATAATTTGTTAATTGTATAAATAAAAGAATAATATTTTCATCACTTTACTATTAAAATATATATTTATTTCAAGGTCTATTGATTATCTGTATTAGTTCTGATCACTTTAACTTTATCAAAATAAAAGGGGATTTTTAATTTAAAGTTCACGATATTAAGATTTTATAAGATAAATGACATATAATATTTTCATACTAGTTGGGGTCTCTCAACATTTTAACAGATAACTTTCAGTTCTTCATGGAAAAATTTCATAAAGAAATTTCAGCTCGTCACAGAGAAATTTGTCACTTTTTTCTGTGACAAATTTTTCTTTGATGAGTTGAAATTTCTCTAATAATAATATTGAGAAATCTTAACTAATAAAAAAAAAACATATTAGACCTCTCTTACTATTAAAAGTGAGAGCAATATTTCATTAATTTTCTTAAATAAAAGTTAGTATAATTTATATAAAAAATATAGGACTAATTATATTTTTTCCAAACCTCAAAAGAGTTGAGTGTAATTTATCCAAATTTAATATTTGAGCAAGGGTGGGTTTCCCTCCCTCAACTGAAAACCCAAAAAAAAAAAAAAAAAAAAAAAAAAAAATTTAAGTACATTGATGATACATATCATTGGTATAAAATAAATTTCATAACTTTAACATAATTATATTAAGGGTAAATTATATTTTATCATTTTTATATTTGGCTACTTCTCCACTTTGATTCTTAAAGTTTTTTTTTTTTTTTTTTTTTTACTTTGGCTTTTATGTTTCAAATTTTTCCTAACTTCTGTTAAAAATTGGATAGAAAATGACATATTGTCAGTCAAGCGACATAAAACTATTTTATTATATATAACTAACATATCTGACACAAACTCAAATTTTAATATAATAACATATTTTTTATATTATATGGAATTTTTTGTATAATTTTTAACAGAAATTAGGTTTAGGAATAAATTGGGAAAAACTTCAAATATGAAGGGCCAAAATGAGGGGAAAAAAAAAAAAACTTTAAGAACCAAAGTGGGCAAAGTGTAATTTATCTTTATATTGAATTTTAATTTACATAATATTTAATCCATTTTCATCAATAATTCATTAATCATATAAATAGAAAATGATATTATTCTTTATTTTACACAAATTTTTTTAAAAAAATGTTACACTTTTGGGTTCTACTCGACTAGATCGATCAAAAATGTTTTTAAAAAAAATAAAAAAAAAGCCCAGAAAAGACCAAAAAAGGTAAAAATAATTTAGTTTTTTGGCTTTTTCCTGATGTTTTTAATTAATTAAACTTTTTTTTTTCACTTTTTAAATTTGTGTACACAAGATCGGAAAAAAAAAATTGAAAGGACAAAAAAAAAAAAAAAAAAAACCTTTTTTGTAAAATTCTAAAAAAGAAAAAAAAAAAAAAAAAAAAAAGCCAAAACTAGTTGGCTTTTTTTTACCATTTTAATTTTTTTATTATACTTTCTAGATTTATTTACATAAGACAGACTTGAAAAATAATAAATTTTGACATAATTTTGAAAAAAGATACAAAAGAATGTGACTTTTTTTATTAAAAAAATGAAGCCACATTTTTTTTTTTTTACTTTTTTATTTAAAACGTGTGGCTTCAATTGAGAATTTGTCTTGAAAATCAAAAAATTATTAAAAAAAATGAAAAACTACTAAAAAATAAGTCATATATACCAATCATTTATATTTTTCTATACAATTAAAAAAAATCATTCTCGTGTGTATTAATTTCTTTTCATCTTATAAGCTAGTATCTCTTGTGTCTGATAGAGATTCAAAGTTTACTTCAAGATTTTGGCAGAGTTTACAACAGGCTCTGGAGATTGAACTGAGGTTGAGTAGTGCATACCACCCACGGACAGATGGCCAATCTGAAAGAATCATTCAAACCTTAGAAGATATGCTCAGAATGTTTGTGTTAGATTTCCAAGGAAATTGGGAAACTTATCTGCCACTAGCCGAGTTTGTGTACAACAACAGCTATGGCTCCTTATGAAGCTTTGTACAGAAGAAAATGTTGATTCCCGATTTGTTGGGCCGAAGTAGGCGATAGACTGTTATTGGGACCGAAACTCGTGCAAGAAACAACTGAGAAAGTAAAATTGATTCAACAACGTTTGAAAACAACCCATAGTCGCCAAAAGAGTTATGCTGATGTTTGGAGGAGAGATAGAGAATATGAAGTAGGCAACCATGTATTCATTAAAGTAACTCCTATGAAAGGCCAGACACGATTTGGGGTTAGAGGCAAATTGGCACCGCGATATATTGGCCCGTATGAAATCATTGAGAAAATAAATCCGGTGACATATCAGGTGGCCTTACCTCCAGTTATGGAGAATATGCACAATGTTTTTCATGTTTCGATACTTCGAAAATATTTATGAGATCTGCATCATGTTATTGGGCCAACACATGTACTCCTGAAGAACGATTATACGTATAAAGAACGACCAATTCAAATTGTAAACCACTGAATTACAAGACTGAGGAATAAAGAAATTCCATTGGTGAAAGTAGATTGGCAAAATCATGGAGGGATGTATGTGACTTAGGAGACAGAAGAGGACATGATGAAGAGATACCCTGATTTGTTCCCTCTGGATCCGATATTCTTCCCAAGCGAAGGTAATTTGAGTTTGGAGGACCAAACTCTTTAAGGGGGAGGACTGTAACAACCCCGACTTATGATTATCTTATAAACCTTACTTAAGAATGCTCAATAAGTAATTATGATGGAAACATGTGTTAGTTGTGTGTTATATGCTATTGTATCTGTCGGTTATAGAGACATCTGTTCGTGTTTCTGTTTTATCATGCGAATTAAAAGCCTTATCGACGTCCGAACGCGAAATTTACTCCGTTTATGTGTTATTTAGAATTTTATGGTAAGTTTAATTGGATTTCAATTTGGAACCAAATAATTAGAATAAAATAGAAACAATAGATTAGCATTAACTCAATTTAATTAACTAATGCTAATTGAGCCTATATAAGGCCACCTCTAATGCTTTTTACACATCTTCTTCATCATTTTGAGCACACAACCGTGGGAGAGAGAGAGATGAAGTGAAGAAAACTGTAAAATCCAAGGAAGATAAGAGAATTTGGAAGCATAGTTGGAGAATTGGCTTGCTAACTCAAAGACATAGTGGTCTGGAGCCTAATTGAAGAGTTTAGGTGAGGATTCAAGCTTTTAGTTGAGTCATTGAGACACTTAACACATGAATTCAAGAGAAGCAAGGTGATCAATGCAAGAATTGAGTTAATGAAGTAGGAAAGAAAGCCATATCATGCATGCATGTCCAATTCATCACCATTTGAGTTTGATTTCAAAGAATTCTCACATGTATGTTCTTATCTTGCCTATGTTTTAGGAATTCAACATGTTTTTGTGCTAGACATCTCAATTGATCATGTTTTGGAAGGTTTGGGTTCATAACAAGTCATGCATGTTATGTTTTCACAATTTCAAGTTTGACTTTGAACAATTCACTTGTTTTTTTGCCTTGATTTTGCGAAATAGTCTTTAATTCATAATGTTTTACAAGTTTACAAGTGTTTTCTTAAGTTTTGGCCCAAAAGAATGTGTTTTGGTGTGTTGGAATTGAAGTTTGGAGCTTAGAGAGCAATTTGAAAATCCCAGAATTTGTACTCTCCGTTCTAGCGGTGGAGTCTGCGCTCGAGCGAAGAATATGAGCTCCCAGTACTTTTACAGAGTTTTGGGGTTGGCTTGAGTGGCAAAACTTGTGCTCGAGTGATCACCCTTATTTTGAACCCTTGGCTAGAGCAACATAAGTTGAGCTCAAGCGTAAAATGAGAGCTCCCAGAAGTTTTGCAAACCAAGGGGTTCGCTCGAGTGACTAAAGCTGTGCTTGAGCGAAGACCCTGTTTTCAGCAAATTTGACTACGTGTTTCAAGTTACATTTTGGCATCCTCATTGCATCTTAGGCATTCATAAGCCTTAATTAAGACATGATAATGAGGATAAGATTTAGAAACACATGTTAAGAAATAAGTATGATAAGTTAAGCGCTTTTGGGGAAAATATTCAAGTGTATCTGTCACTTGTTTGTGTAGGTCATGTGTTAGCACCCGCCTGATCGATCTATTCTGTCCAAGTGATTTATTCTGTTACCGGAGCTATCTGTAAGTAACAATTCTGTAAAGTTATGTTTGATTATAAGTATTTTCTGACTGCAAGGATATAGTCTGTTTTTTGAAATGTATTTGTGGCATCCTTATGTTTATGTGGCCCTTGCCTAGGGGTAATAGTATCGTGGCTAGTATGCATATGGCCCTTGCCCGGGGGTAACAATATTGTTGTCTATGCTTATGTGGCCCTTGTTTGGGGGTAACAATACCGAGGCCTATGTTCACGTGACCCTCACCTGGGGATAACAATACCATGGTTATATGTGTACAATAATGTTAACCTTTATGGTTGTCGGTACTGACTAAGCATGTGGCTTTTTATG